AGATGTTAAGGTGTCTGCCTTCTCATTCAATAGTTTGTGGATTCGAACCCAGAATGAGACGGAAAATGTTCTTTTCTAAAGTTTTCTTTTTTCACATCCTTTCCTGCTTCCTACCAATATTCTGTCGTCTGGTTTCGTCTCCTCTTACTGCCCCCACCCCCTCACCTCCTTTGCTCACTCCTCTAGGCTCCTGACTCTTTCTGTTACCTTTCTACTGCTACTCCTTGGCTTCTTTTTGCTGTTGTCTTTCACCCACACCCCTGATCCTATGATAGGTATGATCTACCAGTTAGCCTTATCGGATAAGGGCTAAAAATCTCGGAGGTCCTGTGTGCAAGTTGCGCACGTTAAAGATGCCTTGGTGGTCCAAAATCGATAACAGTAGGCTTTGGCCGCCAGCCGGGCTAAATTCAAAATTTCCTACCGACTGGAAAATGTTTAATGTGTCCCGACAGCTCGTATGCGAGCGCCGTAAAAGACTTTCACTTACCAACCCCCCCCCCCCCCTTAAAAAACACAACTAACAACAAACAATTATGTTGTATTGTGGTGACATCAGGTACTCGTCAAACACCGACGCTGACGTTACCAATATTGAAATTAGTTCGTCCGTTTTTAAACCAATTTTATATTTTCATTTGGGGAGGGGGGGGGGCACTAGATCTACATACCTTTTCTGTTGACCTAAATACCTATTTTTAACCTAGAAACATTGATAAACGGCGGAAATGTGCAGTTTCCAAGGTTACTCAAGCTGTAAAAATAATAAAACCTCGGCTTTCATTTCCTGGCTAAGTTTACCTCTGACACCAAGCGACCTCCACTTCCTTCAACAGCAAATATCTCGACAATTTAAAAAATATATATATAAATTGTTATTTTTTCACCAAGAACAAGAGAGATGAACGAGCTTTTAAACTATGCCAATATGTCTGTACGTCCCAAAATTGACGAGAGACTGAGTCTACCGCGTGGTGACACAATTGGGCATCAAAGTGTAAAAATTGTATGGAACAGGTGAAGGAAAAATAAAGAAAAAGATCCTAAGAATAATGCCAATTATTATTTAAAATGAATTTCACATTAAGTGACTTAAGGAAATTTAATGTACAACAGCCTGCAGGCATAGATCAGATCAAGATTCAGAAGGTCCCCAAAGACAAAATGTCATGCATGGCTGTGAGTAATTTATCAAACATGTGTGTTGGTGTGGACGGTATAAGCGTGGTTGTACTGTGTGTAGGTGTGTGTATCAGTGTGTGTATGTGTGTCTGTGTAAATTCTGCGCCCGCACGTGTGTGTGTGTGTGAGTGTGTGTTTGTGTCAGTGTGTCAGTGTGAGTGTGTGCGTGGGTGTGAGTGTGTGTTTGTGTCAGTGTGTCAGTGTGAGTGTGTGCGTGGGTGTGTGTGTGGGTGTGTGTGTGTGAATGTGTATGTATGTCTGTGTGTGAGTAAATGAATGTAAGCATGTCCGTCGATCAATGCACGTCCCTCTCACCTGCCGAAGTGGTCCGTAAGGCATCTGTTGGGCGCGTATAGAGCAGCTATGCCGCATGTGAAGGCCAGGAGAAGCAGGATAAACATGCCAAACACCTTCACAATATCTGACACTGTTCGCCTGGGGGTAGGTGAATAGTTGGGGGGATTAATATGGTTTGTGTGCGTGTATGTGTGTGTGTGTGTGTTTGTGTGTGTGTGTGTGTTTGTGTGTGTGTGTGTGTG